TGCATATTCGTTTGACATCAATGTTCTTCCCTTTTATTCAGCTTGTTTTTATTTTTGTCAACAAACATAATAATACAAAAATTTAATTGTGGTAAACGAAATAATAATTTGATATAAGTAGGAGTTTTTTCTTTTCTTCCTTACGTGATAGAAAAAAGTGAATATTATTTTCAAAATCTACATAGCCGAATTATGGAAAATCCATTATTAAAACCAAAACAACTTTTATGAAGTTTGAATTGGCAGGCTTGTATAATCCTTCTGACCACACTTGAAATGCCTTTAGAACATGTTTCTTTGTGAAACATAGAGACTTAAATCTTAAATAGGAAAATGCATAACAGAATGTTAATATTTTTTTGTGTTTGATGATTACTGATTAAGGATACAAAAACAAATTAAGAATCAGAGTTGCTTTTCTGGAAATCGTAATTAGTTTGTCTTCAGTTTCGTTTTATTTATTTTATTTTATTTTTGTAATTATTTTGTAGGAGCTCTACTTTCACTGTTAAGGTTGAACTCATTTAATTTCATAGTTTCTCATTCAATAATGGGTCATCATCAGCTGCCTTACATGTGATTTCGACACTTTATTTTGCACTTAAAAGTGGTATCTTAAGTTTCTATCTTCTCCAAAGATTTATTGATAAATATATTGAATACAAGATGCGAGAGATCACACTTTATAGAAAACGAAAATTAAGTGCGCCTACCTCATTCAAAGTTTGTCCAGTGAAAGTTTTTAAATAGCGAAATGCTTGAAAAATGCAACCTCCAATGACTATCAGCAGTGGAAGCGTTTGTATTATAACAGCCAGCTTCTTAAGCCACAGTGGCCAGTAGGTGTCGCCAGTGTCGTTATCTTGCCAAGGGTATGTTGAGTCAACATTTCCAGACCGGACAAAGGCAATGGAAAGTATCTGTTGGAATTGTAACAAACTAAATAAAACTTTCACTTTTATCACGTTTCAGTTAGTGTTTTCTCCAACTTTTTTGTTATTTCACGAAGTGCTTTCGGTCAGATAATCCTTAGACTGAAGCATTCAAAGATTAGCTTAACAATTCATGTGTAGACTGAAAAACTCGAAGACTTACTCGTCAGTTAACCTGTATTTGATTGTCAGTTAATACGTAGACTGAAGTGTCTGAAAACCTAAACCTAATTCTCAGTTAGTTTAAAGACTCAAGCACCTGAAATGTTGTTTGTCATTTAGTTTCTAGAAGTTCATTATCAGTTAGTCTGTAAGCAAACACCAGAAGGCTTTCTCGTCAGTTATCCTATAGACTGAGGCACCTGAAAACTAGTCAGTTTATCAATGCAGGCTGAAGCACCTGAAAAATTGATTGTCGGTTAATTTGAAGCACCAAAAGACATGTCAATTAGCCTATAGACTGAAACATCTGGATACGTGATTGTCACTTAATAAGTAGTCTGAAACACCTAAAAAAATTATTGTCAGCTAATCAGTTGACTGAAGCACCTGGAGACTTAATTGTAAGTTAATCAATATACTGAAGCACCTTGAGACTTAATTGTAAGTTAATCAGTATACTGAAGCACCTGGAGACTTAATTGTAAGTTCATCAGTTGACTGAAGAACCTGGAGATTTAATTGTAAGTTAATCAGTATACCGAAGCACCTGGTGATTTGATGGTAAATTAATCAACAGACTAAATTAACTAAATGCAGTTGCTTAAATCGAGCCAGAAAGCTTTATGTGAAATAAAGACAACATGGAAGAAACAACTTCATTGTAATGTGTTAATATATATTATTGTTAAAATTAATATGTGCTTTAAACAAAACTCCCGTTTACTTAAATAAAGAACAGGAATGAATAACCAGGACTAAATCTACAGGGAAAAAACGTGATTATTTGCTGAGAAGCCTTTTTTAAACAGATTTTTGGTTTGTTTTGAATTTTGCAGAAAACTACTCGAGGACTATCTGCGTTAGCCGTGATAGCTAGAAGGAAGGCAGCTAGTTAACACCACTCACAACTAAATCATGGGCTGCTCTTTGGTAGTTTTACCAAAAAAACTACTGAAAAACATGCATTAGGTAAAACTATTGCAATATTTTGTTAAGTTCAATGTGTTGCCTTGACGTCATAATGATTTTGATAATATTTTCTTCTTCTTGCGTCACATGCTGCAATAACCTAGTGAGACAGACATTTTAGCTTTCGTTTGTAAAACGATTTACAATTCAAAAACAACACTTGTAACCAATATGTTTGACATAAAATCTCAAAATTAACTCGATGAAATACCAGGTTGTGAATTATGAAGGAAAATGTACTTTAATTGTTTATATTTTATAAAGTATACATTTTTTGACTCAGCTTGTACGTTAATAATGTCATGAATATTATATTCAGTACAACATCTCATTCTTTTTTGTCTGCGTTATAAATGAACAACAGCTATATTGATTTCATCAGATATGACAATCAGATCGTGTTTGACATGCGCTTGTTAATTACACCTTTGATATCAAAAAAGTAAAGAACGTGCTGCTTTATTCATTTTAAACGACATAATTTTTAACTTTAACTTAAAAATTAAAAATATATAAAGTCGAACATCGACAACAATGGCTGTTAAGGTCCACAAAACTTGAAAGAGTAAAATTTGTTTGGAATTAAGCACAAAGCTACACAATGGGCTATCTGTGCTCTGCCCACAACGGGTATCGAAACCCAGTTTCTAGCGTTGTAAGTCAGTAGACATACCGCTGTGCCACTGGGGGGAAAAAATAAAATAGGCACATAAGTTCACCATCACGCAGTAACTTTCTTATTTGTAAACAAACTCATAATTTCTGCTTTGAAATAAAGGTTTGTTTGTTCATTTAAAGTTAAGCACAAAGCTACACAATGGGCTATCTGGGTTGTGCCCACCACTGGTATCGAAACCCGATTTTTAGCGTTATAAGCCCAAAAACTTACGGCTGAGCCACTGGGAGCTAGAAATAAATATATTTTATATTTCATAACTACATGTATATTAACTTGTAAGGCTTAGTAATATATAGGATATTAACTTGGAATTATAACATATCGAATTTATCTTTCAATAAATGAAGAAGTACGTGGATAACATACCAGATAAGACACTGGAAGAACCACGTTCCATTGAAAAGTAAGCATTGGAAGAACCAAAACACGCGTGGCCTGTTGTTGACTTATGAGGCATACAAGTTGATCTGTTCCGTAAGGACGACCTAAAAAGATGAACACAATTAGTAAAAACCAGTGTATAAGCCACAACTTACACGAACTGAAAAAATGAACACAGTTAGTAGAAACCAGTGTATAAACCACAACTTACACGACCTTAAAAGATGAACACAGTTAGTAGAAACCAGTGTATAAACCACAACTTACACGAACTGAAAAGATGAACACAGTTGGTAGAAACCATTGAATAAACCACAACTTACACGACCTTAAAAGATGAACACAGTTAGTAGAAACCAGTGTATAAACCACAACTTACACGAACTGAAAAGATAAACACAGTTAGTAGAAACCAGTGTATAAACCACAACTTACACGAACTGAAAAGATGAACACAGTTAGTAGAAACCAGTGTATAAACCACAACTTACACGAACTGAAAAGATGAACACAGTTAGTAGAAACCAGTGTATAAACCACAACTTACACAAACTGAAAAGATGAACACAGTTAGTAGAAACCAGTGTATAAACCACAACTTACACAAACTGAAAAGTGCAAGGAATATTTTGTGGTATCACACAGAGTTGAAAATCTACCACAGGGCCAACCCGTGCACAGAAGACGTGAAATATAGAAGGGAATAATGTTATGTTTCCTTATCATATAGATATTTGACTCACCTTATGAACGAGATGTTTATTAGATATCTACTATCAGAAAAAAATTACTGGTATGACCTCTGAATAAAACCAAACCTTTATATAAAAGAAGTGAAGAAAACTGCATTGTTCATTTCTCTCTAACGGTAGTGTTTCAGCTAAAAATAATAGCCTTACCATAAACTTTAAGTACTTTTTAAGGTAAAACATTCATAAAGTAAAGTGAAGTATTAGTATTTTCGTTTGTTTGAAATGTTTTTATATACAGCCCCTAAGGCATTTTGTTGATTGAATTAAGAACTGAGATAGAAGACTATACTTTTTCTATTGTTATGTATACGCATTTGGTGTAGCAGTTGCATATGCGTTAAAGTAAGTTATTTTTTAGAAGCGATAGTTATGGCAAAATTGTTTACGTAGCAGTTTATGAAGCATTTGTTGTGTAGTTCAATTGTTGTGAATTGACGTCATGCTATTTGAACTTTCCAAGTTTTTCTCGTAGATTCATCGAGTATTGCTACATCACAACGTCTCGTAGTATATAGGCAACCAAGTTAGTGCAATTAAGTTAGTGAAAGTGAGACAAAGTTAGTGAGAGATATAGTCAAGTAGATATAGACTGTGTTTGTAAGTTTAACCATAAAGAGTGTATAGTGGCAACATTTAAAGATTATATTGTAGTAACACAGTAGAGAAGAATAATTCGCCTGGTAAATTGGGTTCTAAAGTAACTGAATTAGCCTGTATGGACTTTTGACGTAAAAGAGAATTATTTAAAGCTCTGGATACAGCTTTGGTAACCTACAAGGTAACGTAAGTGAATTTATCATTGACTGTATTGTGATAACAGGGTAGAGAAGAATAATTCATCTTGTCAATTGGATTCTAAAGTAACTGAACCAGCCTGTGTGGACTCTTGTCGAAAAGAGACGATTATTTAAAGCTCTGGATACAATTGTGGTGATTAACTGTATAACGAACGTTTGAATATACGTTTGAATTGTTTTGAATATATTATTTTAAAACAAGTGGATTGTATGTTGTCTGTTTATTGTTTAAAATTATCGCCAACAAGTCACAGACACCTATTGTAAAGAATCTTGCCCACACACATACTTAAAAACCTGACAAAGAGATATTTGTCAATGTAATTATAACGCAAAAATTATCCATAATTATTTAATCTGCTTCTAAAAAATAAAAACTACAGCTCTAAACGTACCAATTGGCAAAATGAATATATTTCAGACTTTAACATTACAAAAATGTTCTTTTACAAAGTTCAAGAATTTTCCGTGTATTTTTAACACGTTACATCATCCAGAATATTTTTGAAAATTATAAGACAACGCTGGAATTCTGTGAGACTAAGACTTAACATATATATGATATTAATAAAATACGTATTTTTGAGCATGTGACATTGCATAATAAAAATCTATAACTTTTTTTTTCAATTGAAGTTTTTCAAAAACAGGTTTTATGAAATCTTTGTAACAGAAATAGAAGAAATAAATATTTGCGCAACAGCTTCGGTTGAGATATGTGTTATTATAGTTTGTCTTAAAAAATAAGTTGTAACAACACTTACGTCTAAACCTTCATCGAAGGCACATTTGGGTACAAATATTTAATAAAATTTTAAAATAACAACTGAAAGCTAAAATTATAAATATCATAATTAACAATTATTATATTTATTTCGAAAAGTTATGTAATGTGGAAATACCTGTGAAACAATAACTGTGTATATATATACACATGTTTATTAAGCCTAAAGCCCTAGAAAGTGAAATTCATGTTACATTTGTTTCACAGTCTATGTTGAACATATAGCGAAACTACTACATTTTCTATCTAAATAGCCAGATCATATTTGTTAATAATATATATACTTCTGAGTTGATAGTAGTGTAGGTAATAACTTTATCTGAATATTCTTCAACTGTTTTGAATTCTCCCAAAAGCATCTTAAAATTATTCCCAACAAAAATCAAATGTACAAGATTCTTATTATAGGGACATAAATCACCGAGATAAGTTAAAGCAAAAAACTAAAACTAATACTTTACGTGTTATTTATACAACACCCACCATGTAGTCGCAAAAATGGGTGTTTACGAACATCAAATATACTTGTGACGTCGTAGTTTAGGTAACGCACTTACTTTTGATATAAGCATCTGTTAAACATTTCCAAAGTTACGTAGTATTTAAGCTTATTATTTTGATTCAAGATATATCTTAATGATTTGTAACTAGCACCGTATGTTAACAGGATACTTTATTGCTTTGTGTATCCACGAAGGTGTCAATATGATAAAGTTGTCACGTGATTATTAGGCTGTTCACTCTAGGAATAGATGCTAGGATATCAAACTTCAAAGTGTTAATTGTACGACTGGAAACATAAGGAATACGTTGAGCATTTCTTTTTATCACAGTATGTATTTCCATACCAACAGTATTGTGTAGAAAACAATGGAAGCTTAGTTTCCTATAGCAAACTAGACTAAACAGAACCATATACTTATTACATGAATATGTTACATAATTTTCTTCCAATTACACTAAAGGTAAAATTGAAAGGAGAATCCGTGATGTAAAGGCCTAATGTTTTCTTTGATTTGCCGTACTCACTGCTATAGACTGCAGTTTCGCCTATTGAAGGCTCATCAGCACAGCAAGGGCTGGCAATTCAAAGAAATACAGTTAGGCTTTCTTATAACGGCGATTTGTATACAACATTAATGAGTTTTTAAAGTCCTTTTCAATCACCAATACTGATGATTTAAGAGGACTTAAAAACCCCATAAACATATACTGTCAGTCAAATTATACAACAATCGGATATGAAACGTACGTACCTCTGATAAACAAAATGACAATTATCGTAACGAGAAACACACTCCCCACCCACCACAGAGATCCAATGCACACATCCAGGAAGAACAGAATTAACAAACCAATCTGAAATACAATTGAAATTTAAAATTAACTTACAAATTATTGGCAAAATGTATATATATATATATATATATATATATATCTTCAATAAATTATGGCTATGACATTAATCTTTTCATACTAAAAATAAACACGAAGTCCAATTCACTTCATATCACTGTGGATAGCAAAAGACAACTAAGAACATCATATATTGGTCTATTTTTGGTACAAATTTCAGAAGCAAAATGGTTTTTCACTAACCCAAAATGGTAAATGCTTTTTATTTTATAAATTTGAAACGTGTATAGAAGAATTGTTAGCAGATCGACTTCTTTTAAGAACCTATCATTAGAACAAATTATCTATTGCATTATTGGATTGATAAAGAAATTGGGATTGAAAAATGTATGTTCGAACGTAGTTGCGCTGAAAACAGTTTGCCTGAAACGTCGTAATAAATTTGTTTTACGATGACTGATGTTTGACACAGTTTAATAATTCAGTCACTGTATTGTTATGTGTGGGACAGGTTACGTATTGTCTTGTGTAGAAAGCAGGTTATCTTTTTGTCTATAATCTGTACAGTTATGTACGAGGCAGATTACCCATTGCCTTTGTACAGAGCAGGTTAATTCTCGCCGTTTTTGATTTATTAATAGGGAACGATTTAATCATCGTATTTTTTTGTGTAGGCAGAGATTAAAATTATCTTATTATCCATATAACATACAAACGTAACGGCGCTATAAGCTACAATGAATCCTAGAAGCCGAAACGTTGGATGATAAATAAGATTTTATTCTAGAGTTATAGGCCATTTTTCGTGTTTTATTATAAGCCATATAATTCAGTCAGTACTTAGTTTCTGAAGAAATGATGGACTTAGTCTTGACATCATTGTCTAAAGACACTTTAAAAACGAATTAGTCGCGGCATTATTGTTTGGAGACACTTTAAATATGAATTAGTCGTGGCATTATTCTCTAAAGACGCTTTAAACATGAATTAGTCGCTGCATCATTGTATAAGGACACTTTAAACATGAATTTAGTAGTAGTATCGTATTCTAGGGACACTTTAAACATGAATTATTCGTGGCATTATTACCTAGAGACATTTTAAACATGAATTAATTGTGGCATCATTGACTAGAGACACATTAAACATTTTACAAAATGTAACAAGTGTCTGACCTAAGAGTAATAAAATAAAAAAAGAGACAACTAATATTTATTGAGGTGTTTTTTATTCGAGTTGTTAGAAGAGAACAAAGTCATCGGAATATACAAATCATTCAAACAATCTGTTGTTTTCGGGGTCGAGAATATTTTAAAAAGTATAATATTAGGTTACCTATTTTTGTTTTTCATTACTATATTATAGTCTCTTAATATATGGTTTGAGAGTTCCAGATATATCAGCAATGTATTTAATAAAAAATATAATAGAGCATTACGTATCGTTAGTCCCGTATATAAATAAAATATAATACAATTCATTAGGCTTAACTCGTTTCTCAACTCTTGCTTGATCACGTAGAAAGGAATTTGAGAGAAAATATATATTTTAATTTAAATGTTGTCATTCAGTTTGTCTCAAAATTTATCAAATAAGTCAAATGAAGACAAAAGAACTTTAAGGCATGTCTCGTCACACAAGCCCCCCCCCCCCGCCGTTTTTAGATATAGTTTATGAACACTGTTTACTATAAAATGTCCTGTGACATTGCAGGTGCGAATCGCAAATATATACACCTGGAAAAAAGTTAAGCACCCCCAAATATTTTTCAGGATTGCTTATTGAAAATAAGGTTTAATTTCCAGGATGTTGAGCAATGTTCATAATTTCAAACATAATTAAAAGGATGTGAGCGTTCAGGTGTGACATTTAAATCAGGCGCGTTTTTTTCCCACGTGCAACTTGCTCCCTTCTTCACGTCCAATATGCACTATTTTCACGTGCATCAAATTCATATTTAA